ATATATATATATATATATATTAGAAAAGATGAAAAATTAGAATGGCGATAACGAAGATTGAATTTAATTTTTCATTACATGTATTTCAACACACCAACCACGAGATTAGTGGTTTTGTTTTCTATCCTAATAATAAAAGGTTGCTCTCTTTTGACGTTTATTATTCTTTTAGAAAATTTTAGCCTAAAATTATAAAACGTTTTCTGATTGTCTCCTACAGTTCACCCACTATCAATTTTTAAATCGCTTGCAATTACTTCTTTTTTTTTTTCTCTCTCTCTAGAAAAGTATTTTATTTTTAAATAATGTATAAAACCACATAGTGCCACTTTTTTTTCTCTAATTGTAATGTACAGATTGCGAATTCAAAAATTGAGAAAAAAGAAAACTGAGTGGGGGTAACATAAATACTGGCAATGGAGTAAATATTATTGTAATAGTTGGAATAACCATATATTAAATATAAAAAAAAAAATACATCCTTGAATTTAAAGGCAATAAAACTTTTGACCAAATAATAAACCACTAAGTTTTTAAGACTCAAAATTATTAAATTTGACCAAATAAACTAATCTATGTGTTCAGCTCTAAAGAAAATAGACCGACTAAAGTCTGGGAAACCAAAAAAAATGTTGTCATGACTATTAGAAAGAAATACAGAAGAAATCATTTTATTTAATACTTACATAACCTCTAATTTAAAATTGAGATAACAGAGAAAACCACTGATTGGAAAGAAAAAAAAAAGTAAAAATATTGCTCAAACAATAATTATAAACAAGTAGAAAAAAAAGTATTTTTTAAAAATTCGTGTAAAAAAAAAAAGAAATCAAAATCCAAGTTAAATGGTCATAGGCTAGTATAATGAAAACAGATACAAAAATAAAAAGGCAAAATAATTAATTTATAAAACTAAAGAAAAATAAAATTTTAATGCTTTCCTTATATAAACTAAAATTGTAGAAAGTGATTGAAAGATTTTGAAAACCCAATACTCAAAAGTTGGCAACTAGTGACGAGGGTGAATAAAATGAGTGAAAGGGGACAAAAGTGACACGAGGTAAAAACAGTATATGGCCACCTCGATAGTCATCGAAACATTTTGTCATCAGCGTTCATTGACAGCGCGCCTACTACCAGAAGCGTTTCTAAAATTTAAGAGATGTCATCATATAAGTAAATTAAGCAAACCTAAGGAAGAGAAATTCTATAACTTTATAATACATTTTTTTCCCTTTAATTCTAAATCCGAAGTTTGCCGGAATAACCTTCAATTCTCTCTGTAAATTGAAGCTGTCTCAGTCTGTCTCACTCTTCACTCTTCAGATATACAGAGCGTGAGAGATTAAGAAAGTGAAAAAGCTATCAACTTTCACTGTCTGGACCCACCAATTCTCATATCTAGAGATCTACTAGGTATCATTTTCTAGATCTATAAATCTTGCTTACATGTGAAATAAGTTGATGCGATTTACTGTTGTAATGAGATATATCCCTTTTCTGTTGACTACTATTTTTTAAATTTTTTTTTTTATATATTTTTTTTTTTATTATTGGGAATTTTGATGTCTGCCTGGACCCTAGCTCACTTATGATACTTTATTTTCACTGATCTGAGCAATCATCATAAATCTTAAAGATCTGATTTTTTTTTTCTTCTACGAACCGATGTTGTACGCAATTTGGTATTTAGGGTTTTCGTTTGTCAAAAATATTCATTTTAAGCAAAATAAATTATATTTACAACGGGGTGCTGGAATTCATTTTTTTTTTTTGGTAAAAACCGGAATTCTTATATATAAACAATTATATGTAAAAAAAAATTAAGAGCAAACTATTCTTACTAATCTGTTTTTTTATATAATCTTATAATATATATTTTTTATGTCTAAATAATAAAACTTAGGAAGAGTGATTCTAGGATTAACACAATTTGACTCGGGAGTGTTTAATTTGGACTAGATTTCCTGCCGTTGAAAAGTATCTCTGTAGGGTCCTGCAGTCAAGAATGAACAGTTCAAAAGATTTTAAGTAAATATATTTTATATTTAATATATAATTATTATTTTTTGTGATCTGAATTTCATGTAGACACTTTTGTGACTTCAAAAAGTCCATGTTCGTTTAATCTTTGGATGAGGGTTCTATGCAAATAGAGAGAAAGAAGGGAACTAGCATATATTAACCCTTAAGTTTGATGCTATAAGCTTATAATGATTTAATATTTACTTTTATTTGCAGGAATTAAAAACCAAATTTATCTCTATATATATATATATATATATATATATTCATATATTTACAATAATTAAAAAACATTATATTCATATATACATGCTTATTATGAAGGATGCATTTAACACGTCTTTCTATATTTCAATAGAATACTTAAAAGCCATTTCATTCACACACCGATGCATTACATTGCCACCTTTTTGTGAAAATAATACTAGTATTTTTTTCAATATATATTACAACGTTGAATTATGTGACTCTGGCTGAATTCACTCTATTATGTCTAAGTTCTTGTTGGAAGTCTAAAAGGTTGGATATGGCATAAGAATATATCTCCATGATGATCTCATCATGTTGTGTCCTTATGACAGGAGGATGGTGTGGTACATTAGATTATACGATGCCTAAGTTCTTTTGGGTGTGGTCTAATAGGCTGTTCTAATGACTGTAAGATGTGGCCTTATACTGTGGTCTCTTTGGTGGAGATTGGTCGCTGATTGAGCATCAAAGTCTTTTACTTTGTAAGTTCGAAATAGTAGGTGTCATAGTTATCAACATATTGATCACTCTGTGCCTGGGTTGGTCCACTCGTAGTGCTCCCTTACTTGGTATATATATATACATTCTTTATTTGTCCAAAAAATATATTACAATGTTTAATAATATTTCTTTTGGCTCCAATGTAGGTCTGCTCTCAATATTGTTTTTTCTTCGAATCTTAGGTCTTGAGAAGTAAACTTAGCAAGAATGAATCCTCAAGGTGAGATCATCGATTCCTCTCTAACTCGATCATTTATTTATTTTGCACCATCTAACAGTGTGTTTTCTTTTTTGTCAAAGGTGGCGGAGCTGGACAAGTTAATGCAAGCAACACAAACAACCAAAATTTCACCTCTCATCCATCTCTTGAATCATTGCAGACGACGCTCCTTCCTTTGTTTCCTCTCACCACTGAAAGTGAGCAAAGGTTCCTTGAAGGGCTTCCTATGCCAAATCTGAATCTCCCTCAACAAGGTCTCACTGGTGTTCCTCTTCATGAATCCCTTAACTTATCATTGGGATCCAACGTTTCTTCTTCAAGTTCCATTGCTATAACTCCTCAAAATCCATCCACCAATCTTGACTTGTCACTATCACTAACAATAGGCTTAGCTCATCAGGGAAATGAAGTGCAAGTGCAAGGTGTGCATGGAGGCACCTCATCAGACACTGTTCTCTTACCAAGTAAGAGAAACCATGCTTCTGGAGGATTTCTCAGAGGCGAAAGTTCAAACATGGGAGAACAAGCTCCACCGGCCAAACGACATGTCACTGAGTTTCAGGTCGGTGCCAACAACAATTTGAACCCATCACCACCACTTCCTGAGAGGCAAGTAGCACAACCCTTCAGTGAAACTCCACGCACTGAACCCATCCAAGGTCATGTTCATGTCAACCCACATAATGGATCAGCTCCTGCACCACAACCACAACCACAACGTTATTCGCGTGTTAACAGGATTGCAAACAACTTCCGAAGAGGTGTACAGGGTCAACTACACCATTGTTTGTCCTGTAGCGGATCCTCACACCATAGTTTTCATAGATCATCCATGACTGGTCCTCCTTCGATCAACAATGGGAGTGCAAGAAACACTCCTCGGGTGATTGCACCCCCTTATCCTCAAACCCTAGGTGATAATATGGCCCCTTTACATGGTCACATAAACTTTCAGAGAGGTAACATGTTTGGCCATAATGCTCATCAAGCAATTATGTACCACCCTCCGAGTGACCAAGCTGGTCCTTTAGCTTTGGCTTCTTCACAAGGCATACGAGAAATGAGCCTTACTGTTGCAGCAAGTAGTTCCAGAAATCAGAATAATTACCAAAATCAAGCTGTAGTGCCTTCACCTCAACCTCGTGTCAGTCATGAGACTTTTTTGCCACAACAGTTTTCTACTGTTGACATGAGAAGAAGGCTTCCAGCTGAGGTACGTCTCAAATCTCAATACTTGCCTTCTTAAGATTAAGTTATAAGAATTTATTTGATGAAGAAAAGGGGGGAAAGGAAATATTCAGAGGAAGTTCCAACTGATTTATTTTATTTTATTTACTTTTGGATATGTTGTGTATGTGATAAAACAAAATTCTCTTCTAATTCACTGAGTTACAAAATTTTGGAAAAACTAGAAGAATTTTTTGTTTATCCTATGTGCACTTTAGTCAAATAGTTTAAAAGCTGCAAAGAAGTCGTAAATTTTGTGATGTATTCTTTATTATAATTTTATCATTTGTTAAAAAATGAATGAAAAACTACATACCATTCTAGAGTGTTAACACCAGTTTTTTTTTCATCTATTTTCTAATAATATCAGTAAAATTGTAGTAAATGCATGACTCAAAATGTTTTAGGAGATATATTTTACACGTTTAGAAATTAATAAGATTTATTCTTAAAGGTATGAGTCTAGTTTTATAGTATATAATCAAAATAATGTTGTGAGTGATTTTACATTCATATAATAATGTAGGAAAAAAAATGTATGATCAAACTTTTTTTTTCACTTTTTTTGTCCATGGATGTTTTAATGTAAAAAAATAAAAATAAATAAAAATTTTAATTTTTTTTTGTATAATTACAAATGTTGCATAAAATCAAAGTTATACTACAAAACTAAGAAGAAACTATTAAAAAATAATTTTCAACAAAAAACTGTATCTATTACCCTTATATTTGTTCTCCTTGCACCAATGTCTTGATTCTTTCCTGACTCATTCATATTCATAACATTAATGCCTTGATCAAATTATATAAATCACTAAATTGTTCTCTGTTCCATTTCTTTAATTCAGCTCAAAACTTCTAATTTTTCTTTAAAACCATGTGCTCGTCAGGAGTATCCTTAATGCAGTATAGAATAATTCTTGTATAATTAAAGTGCATAGACTTTGATGCATCAAAGTAGTGTAAACGTTGACACATATTAAACATGTTTATGGGTTGCAAATTTTATCATCACTCTTTCTCTTTAGTGGTTGATGTTGAAATTTTTGTTTGTTTTCCATCTTAATTTATTTGGAAATTAATTTAGCTTTTACCTAGTCAATCGTTTACACGTATATATTTTTGGCATGAAGGTTCAATCTATCCTGAATCAAGTACGCGTGGGTCGACGCACTCTAATGTTCGAGGTACATTTTCACACTATAGTACATGCATGCTCTTACAATAAAATTATGTATATGATGGCACAAGGTTAGCCTTAAACTGTATTTAGTCTATCTTATTTTGATTTTGCGTCATCAGTGGCTAAGTAAGGGATGAGGGGAGACACTAACTTACACATAGGTTATACCGAATGAGTCATTTCAAAACTTTGAAGGTTATGATAAAATATTTAATTTTCTCTTTTATCTTATTTCTACTACATTTTCTTTTCATCTTTTTCTTCTTCTTACATTTATTATTTTCTCCCGTTAACTTTCCTTTTTTCTTTCTATTCCTTCGATGTACAATCAGTATTATACTAATGAGATAATGAATTTTCATTGTTTCCACTATACATTATACTAACAACATTCATTTTTGTTTTGTTTTATCATAACTTTTAAGCATTGCAATTATTAAGGAAGTTTAACTTAGTTTGTTGAAATTGAATAGTGTACATGAATTGCTGTACGTAGTTAGTGCTAAGTTTCATTTTCATGTTAAAAATCATTGTAATTAACAAATGTGTTTTATGTCTACATCCTACAGGATCTGATGGTCTTTGACTATTCACTTGTGTTACTAGAGTATGAGGTAAGAAAGAGTTACTATTTTTATTATCATATATTTATTTTCTTTTTAAGTTCATCGTACTTTTTTCTTCGAAAGTTAGACAATCTCATGAATTTAATTTTATTTTCATAAGTTACACCTTTGCTTAAATCTTACAGATTTTTAATAATGAAATTTCTCAATAATATTCTTCAATCCTACTTGAATTCTCTTTCTTTAATTGGCACCAAATAAAAAAAATGAGGAATTACTCCTCTGAATACATCTTCCTTTAAAATCTTCCAAAACTTTTGATATAACTTTGAAATAGAAATATTCCTAGACTTTTGTAACTTCCACAACTCTAAATTACCTCCTCAATCTCCTATTCCACAAATCTAGCAATCAACATTTCATTATCCTTCTCTGAAATTTAACTGAATTTTATTCCTTCCGGAATTGGTCTTTTCCATTTATTTTTTGAAAGTAAATTTTGAAATTTCCTTTCTTCCTTATTTCATTAATTTTACTTACCTTCTCTTTCCACTCCTTTTTATTTTCACAAGACTTCACTCACCTGCTCTACCACCTCCAATTTAGTCTGCCAGCCACAAATTATGTTTAGCATTTTTATTTTAAATTCTAATTTTAATGAAGCAAAGCATTTATTTATTTTCCTGGTGAAGAGTAAACTTCCATTATAGTTTAGAAGAAACAATTTGGTTTCACTATTGCTCTAAACATTATGATTTGAAGCAGACGGAACTCCAAAATCAATTGGATCCATCACACCCGGGACTGAGTGCGGAAGAGATCATGGGCCACATTAGGCGTGAAAGTTTCACGTCATCCGTTGGTACAGAAAATCAAGAAGATGAAGAAAAATGTGCCATCTGTCTGGTGAGTGATGCTACATTTGCACTTTTTTGAGGGTAACACTGACATTGTATATTTGTAAGGTTACGTCAACACAAGTAACTCTTTAGTTATAGTTTTGAAAATAAATATTTGTTTTTCATTTATACTATCGTGTTAACCAGTTATGCAATTTCTCGGATCTAAAATTCATTTTATTTTATTTTTTTGCTATTATTGTCATTGTTTCCTTATATACTCTCCTTTTATGGAAAGTGTGTGAATAAGGGTAGGAGCCCTTGTTGCTTTGGACTGGCCTTTGCCTGCCAAAGAGAAAAAATTACACACATACAGATATCGATATATAATTTTTTTACTTAATATATAATAATAATAATGATTTTATATATTTCTTATCAATCATTTATTTTCTTTTTCTTTCCCTCCACTTTCTAACACTTTATTATTCGAGAGATACAACCATTGTTTCTCAGAATTTTGTAAAGTAAGTCTCTATTTTTTTCTAATTGTTTCTATAAAAAGAAATTAAAGAATATATATTTCATTTAATATTTTTTTTATAAATAGAGTACGTGTTATTGTTATTATTCTGAAAATAAAAGTTAAGTTTTCTTTAACAAAAGATGAAGATAAATTATGCCTTTAAAAATTTAAATATGATATTTATTTTGATATAATAAAGATTTCTATCATTAGATTTTCTTATTCGATCTTTAAAAAGTTAATTTTTTTTTTCTCTCTCTCTCTCTTATAGCGTTGTAGTCTTGTATCTTTTGTTTAATTTATATAATTGTTTTTATTCTGATATGTGATCAATTATTATGAATATTTTAGTTGTTATTTAATTATAATATATTAATATTTAAATTAACATTTAATTTATCTTTTATATGTAGCCCCGTTAAAAGAAATGTTCTAACACTGTTCCAGATGTGCATGTTGACATTTTAGTGTTCTATTGACTCATACAAAATTTTTTGTCTGCTCATGTAGGAGGTTTATGAAGATGGAGACGAAATTGGGAAGTTGGATTTATGTATTCACATATTTCACGTTCAATGCATCAAACAATGGCTCATGCAGCGGAACGTATGCCCGATCTGCAAAAGAATTGGGTTGACAATAAACGATGCAGAAAATGAAAGTGGAGCAGTAGTTAATAATGAAAATGCCAATGCTTAATTAGTTCCTGCCTGTAACTTTCAAGACTAAGATTCCAACTTCCTTTTTTCCTTCATGGAACAAACTTGTTTATATATGTAGTAATAAGCTTTTACTTAATGCTTGATGACTATTTACAACTCCTGCAATATTTTTGTTTTTTTTTAAGCTAGTGGATGCTTTTATATGTCATTGCGGATGATATCAGAGGAAGTGAAGTTCCTACTGAACTTAGGGAATGTTTTGTCCGATTGAGACAGACTGAATGTAATATGAAAGTAACTCTTTTATTATTTATTTCATGTAAGTAACTTAGTTTTGTTGTTGCGCCTTCATATATATGCTTTTATGTTTGAATTAGTTTGCTTTATATTTGCTCTATAGCTGTATATCTTGCAGTATATAATCATTTGATGTCTATGGATAACGATAAAAGTGGGTTGTCTAATTTACTGTAAGTAAAAATGATATTATGTAACAATATAAAAAATATAATTGGTGTAATTAATTATGTTCTTCAAGATTAATGATACATTTTATTTTTTATATGGAGTTCACTTGTGCAAAACCATTGTTACTCATTGCACTTCTACGTTGATTGTTTTACAACCGAGTAGAAGAAGACGTAGTGACATTTTAAAAATTTTGGCAAACTTTTCTACATTGGTCGTAAAATAACCAACGTAGATTTAATACTCGTACGTCGGTTGTATGTTTTGTTTCTCCGACCCTCAACTTTAGCAGGAGTGGGACGCCATCAGTTTCGACCCAACTACAATGGACAGGTTTGTCACGGCTGAGGATGGTGACGATGCAGACGAAGGCGAGGATACTGAGGTGGAAGAGAACCCTTCTGAGGATCTTCCTTTGGTTGAGGGTTAGTATGTACATATGGCTAGGATTTGGAATTGATTTGTCTGGTTTGGTCACGAGTCACCTTTTTATATTATGTATTTGAGATGGGTAGACTAGGACCACATTTTGTATGCATTTTTAGTCATTTTAATTTATTCGACTTTTGAAAAACCTTTGCTCCACACTTGTCTGCACATCTATTAATTTACAATACTGTTGGCTCCCACAACTATTGGTTTTATTATATCTATTTGAGTATTATTCAGTTATGATGGTTTATGTTATGATTTAGCCATGTGTATGATTTATGTTTATATATGTTGTTTTTGTCTTTAACAAAAAGTATTTTCACCTTCTATATCATTAAGAAAAAGTAATCCTATCTCTCTACATTGCAAAATTATTTATTTTCCCAAGTTAACTAACTTCTTTCAAATTTGATAAAGTATAGCAATCATTACCCTAAAACCTAGCAATGTACATTTTATCAATTCAAAAATTGGGGGGAAAATACAAAAAAGAGTTGAGTAGGGAAAAAAAAGTATTGGCAATAGAGTAAATAACATTATTTTAATACCGTAATTCAAATTTGAGAAAATTTACCTGCTTGAATTTAAGTCAATGATGATTATTAAAGGCAACAAGTTTTAACTCGCTAAGTTTTTCATATTCAAAGATTATATATACAATTATTTAATTTTTTTTAAAAAAGAACTCGGTAAACCAATGCATGTGTTCAATTCTAAAGAAAATAGAGTAACTAAAGGGCTGACTAGTAAACAAGAAAATGTTGTCATGACTATTACAATGAAATATTGAAGAAATAATTTCATGTGATGCATACACAAAATAAAATGTAAATAATTTTTATAACATCAGTGTATCTCTATCCATCATTAATAAATAAAATAAAAGATACGATGAAGAAATAGATAAAAAAAAATGTTATAAAAGTTGTTTTATGAATTTCTTTTACAAAAATCATTTTCCATTTAAAATAAGAAAATAGACTAAATAAATAAGAAAGAAAAAATAAAAATCCAAGTTAAATGCTCGTGGGTTATATATTATTTGAAAAATAGATAAAAAAAATAAACTAATATTATTAAAAGTGGGGAACAAAAATTAAAATTTAAAAAAAAATTCTGTCTCTAAATAAAACATAAAGGAGTTTGAAATTTTTCAGAAGACCAATATTGAAATGTTGAGAACTAGTGATGAGGGTGAATAAAATGGGTGATAATCATTGAAACATTATTTCAGCAATGTTATTGACACCCTACTAGTAGACACTAGTTGCATGTTCCATGGCTTTATATTCTGTCTCACGTTGAGATTTTCGTTGAAACTACTTTTGTTATCATTGTAAATCAGTTTAATTCTATCAACGGTCTCAAACACGACAAGTGTACCTTCCTTTCAAGTAATAAATTATATCGTATTCACAGGGACTAGTAGCTAAAATAACCATTTACTACCTATTCGTGACTAAATAATAATTCCAATTTAGTAGTTTGTCATGCAAATGTGAATTAGTAGTTTGTCACCGAACGTCACACTAATGAATCCTTAATCTCTTGTTATATCCATTGCTTAGTCAACCCATAAGTTTACTCAAACCTAATCTCTTAGAGCAAGAGCCTAGGTGCAGATAATGAATACCAATTCCTTGAGTATCCAATACCTACACCCGCATTACGGGTTAGGGTTTAAGACTACTAATGGGTCAAGCTCCATTCCTAGATACATTTTCCACTAGGTATTTGTTTCAGAGCTAGTTTCAATGATTATTTTCCAACACCTAATGGAACCTATATCATGCAAAGGAGGATCAATCCAAAGCAAGCATTAAGAATAGAAACATACACAACAATGAGTGAAACAACATGTATATATATCATTAAAACGTAAGGATTATAATAGAGTCGTTAGTTACATCTAACCCCACAAAATAATGGGTAGAACCACTCAAAACAATGAAGGAAAAACAAAAATAGAGATGGAAGAGAGAATGAAGAACCGAAGGAAAGACCCACACATGAACGGTCCCAAGCTCTGGGAATCCCTTCCTCAGCTCCTAGAATGCGTCCAATGTGCGAATGAGGAGAAAGCCCCTGAAGATTTCTTCAAATATGAGCTTGGGGAGTCATAGTAGGGTTACACGCCCAGCGCATTAGTCTTTGCGCCCGGCGTATTAGTCTTTGCGCCTGGCGTAGGGCCTTCCAGATAGCTTAGTTGCTCTCTGCCTCAAGACACGCCCGGCGCAATTCCTTTTAAGCCAGGTGCAATGTCTTCTAGAGAGTTTGAGCTACTATCTGTCTCGATCACGCCCAGCATTGGTAGTCTCGCGCCCGGCGCAAGTATGACTTGCAGAGGTGTGTCACTCTGTTTTGCTCGTGCCCGGCGCGGGTAGTCTTGCGCCCGGCGCAGTTACTCTTCTCTGCTCCTTAGCTCCTTAAATTTCCAATCCTATGGGTCTTCAATCCTCAATTCTCTAGCTCAATACCTACACAAAAAATGAGGTGTATTAGGGTATTGTTAGCCAAATTCTAGGTTACCTATATCTACACAAAAAATGAATCAAAAAGAGAACAATTATCTTGCAATGGTGCAAAGGATGAGTGAAATTGTTCAATAAGTCTTGTCCAAAAAGAAGTATAATTGAGACTTAACAACTCCCCCAAACTTAGAACCTTGCTTGCCCTCAAGCAACAGGTAATTGATCTAGCAGATAACAAGCAATGCATGTATGTCAAATTCCTACATTCTAGTTCACTTGGATTTTCTTTTCGCAAGCATGAACTTTAGCTGAACTTTTAGTCACAATTATTGCAATGGAACATGACAAGGTGCAAACAAAGGTTTCAAAAAAGATCAAAGAGCTGAGAAAAGTTAATGACTATCTATATGAATGCATCCTCACTAGGAAAGTGTTTCTCTATATGCACACTAGTGTATCAGGGTGAGTGTTTCTCTCAAATCTACTACTCACGAGTCACGCCACATAATTCAACTTTGCTCTTCGTTTCCAAATGGAACCAATGGTAATACAAATGCAGGCACTTATCACAAGGTCTTTCTTAGGGAAATCTGGGTCAAGCAGTAGCAATCTTATGGTTTTTCAAGGATTGAAGATGTTATGGCTTAAGAAAGCAATTGAGATTCTACAATGAAGTCCCTCTCCATACCCCAATACAACATTTTAGCACATGCCCTTAACCGGATCCAAACCATTAGCCTTTATGTGATGCATATTTACACTTTTGCATCTTAATATTTTTGTTTTTGTTTTGTTTTGTTTTGTTTTTGTTTTTGTTTTTGTTTTTTTTGTTTTTGTTTTGTTTTTTTTTTGAATGGCTGACCACATACTTTCTTCTTCCCAAAATTCCTCATTCTTCAACTCCCCCAAACTTATTTGATGTCATCAATTTACTCTCTTAACCAAAGCAAAGGTTATGGTTAATTTTTTCACAATTTGGGATAAGTGGAAGGTGTGGTGTTTAGGCTTAGGAAGCTATGGGTCAAGTGAAAAGTGGAGATGGCTTTTTGGCTTAGACGGTTAACAAAATAAGGAAATATGAATGCCTTGATCATATAAGTGCACAACATTAGCAAACCACCAGAGAAACTCTAGCAAAGTCTATCATGCAACTTAAACGTAGTTCACTCATCAATATTTAGGCTCAAACCTCACCCGGCTATGCATCCACAGATTATCAAACTTGGCTCAGTTCTATGATCAACATTGAAACCCGTATGCAACTAATTATGAACTAAAGCTCTAACGTGACTTGAAAATGTCTAAAGTACACGCACCATAAACATCAAGCAAACCACAATCCAGAATTGACCACAAACGAAGCAAGTATCAAGAAGATTAAAAATTGTGCTATAGAAGAATATTCACAAAAAATGAACCAACCATAGCAATCAACAAAAAGAACTAAATATTACTACAGAGTTTTGGAATAGAAACAATTAAACAACTGAAAATAAAAGACAGAAAAAAATAAACTGCAATAAACAAAAGTTTGGACTAAGGTAGGCTCCACCCGCATCCATCTACGGAGCCTGGTCATCATCAGCAGCAGCTGCTCCATCCTCATCAGCAGCAGCTGCTCCATCCTCATCAGCAGCATCAGCCTCATCAGCAGCTCCACCCCCCAAAGAAAGGGGCCTGGTCCCCAGGCCAACCAGTATAAGCGTGATAGTCTGCAGTAGAAGGGAACTGGTAGCCAAGAGCGAAGTGCAGAGTGAAGCTCTGGAATGCATCCAAGATGAAGATCTGGCCACGGTGGAGGGACTCCTACTACTGCATAAAGGCATCCATCCGACCCTCCTGACGCTGCATAAAGGTCTCCATGCGGCCCTCCAAAGCTTCAAAACGTTGATGGATAGTGAGGGGAGGGC